TTTTGAAACCATGCATTCTTTCTTTATTAAAAAAAAAAGGTAGCCCAGGTGGGGTGGGGTGTGGGAGGAGGGAATGACAAGGCCACATTGCGTATTGCGGCCACACTACCAATCCAAAATGTTTGAATGACAGCCTTCTGCTGCTTGGACCATCCTCTGGAGTGGAGTGGCTGGGTGTCCAAAACCTCCCCCACTGCGTTCTTGGGCATCTGGGTGAGGAGGATATGGAACTTAGGGAGGAGGGCAGGTGGTTATACAATGGATGCAGCAGGGGTCTGTGCTCTTGTTGGCTTTCCTGCATTTCCTCCAGCAGATGCTTCATCATGTCCGTTTGCTCCCCGATTAGCCTCAGCATCGCCTCCTGCCTCTGCTCTTTGTGCTCACTTAATGCTTTCCTGGCCTCTGCCACTAAATGCCTTCATGCATTAAGCTGTGCCCTATCAGTGCGGGAGGACTGCATGAGCTCGGAAAACATGTTATTGCAAGTGTGTTTTTTTTGCCTTCTAATCTGCGATAACCTCAGGGACAGAGATGATAGGGGGAGCATAGAAACATTTCCACCGGGGGGGGGGGGGAATAAAAAGGAGAGTAAAATTTATGATACGTTTCTGAGGACAAAAAGGAGACTCTTTCACAGTGAATCAAGCACAAGAGACAGCACATGTGCTTTAGGTACAAGGTCACATTTTGCCTTTTACACTGAGTGCCTGCCCGTATGGTGACACATCACACACGGCTGGGCAACAGAATTTGGTTTCCTAGCAGCCATGATAAGCCTTTTGGTACGCAGGGTTGGCTTCTTCCACCTTCATAACATGTGGGAATGGTTTCAAACTGCAGTGCCATCCTTTCCCATAGCAAGCAATGCCGGCTGGGTTTCACATTTAAAAAGGGGGGGCTGCGGTTTTCAGTACACACCTCCCCCCACCCCACTGCACGGCTATTCTCCCTTCACCCCTCCCCCCACCGCGTGGCTATTCTCCGGGATGATCCCTTTTAGCCAACAGCAAACAACCCAGCATGAATAGGGTCCTTTTACTGTTCCCTGACAAAAATTCCCCTATTTCAACCAGGTGGCCATGAATGATATTCTCCTGAGGCTAACACAGAAAGATAAAGACCAAATGTTGCTTGAATGTGACCAAAACCCAGGACCATTCGCTGCCATGCTTTGTGCTGCAATGATTCCAGACTACTTGCCACTGGCTTAGCTTAGTAAAGTGTCCTACTGTGGCAGCCCTCCCCAGAAACCTTCTGCAAAGGCTTTCAGAGTACCTCCAGGAGAGCTTCATGGAGATGTCCCTGGAGGATTCCCACTCCATCCTGACACGTTAACGGACTTTTCCAGTAGCTGTACTGGTCGTGAACTCATCCCAATTCAGGGCAAATCAAACACTATTGCTTTTAAACCCTGTACTGTAGTTACAAATGTGCACTCACCAGAGTTGCCTTCTCCAGCTTCAGGGTTAGGGATCCCGCCTTGGGAGTTGCCTTCTCTGGCTCCAGGGTGACGAAAAGGTTCTGGCTGCTGGAAGAATGGATTCACTGCTTGCCTGCTACACATTCTCCTCCTCCACAAAATCCTCTTCCCTGTTGCGTGAGACTCCCCCCTTGCAGGTGTCCATGGACAGCGGTAGGGTCCCCCCCAGAATGCCATGCAGCTGATCATAGAAGCAGCATGTATGGGGTTCTGACCCGGAGCAACCGTTTGCCTCCTTTGTCTTTTGGTAGGCTTGCCTGAGCTCCTTAACTTTCACGTGGCACTGCTGTGTGTCCCTGTTGTAGCCCCTCTCCACCATATCCTGTGTGATTTTGGCATGCATATATATATTAGCATTTCTTCTTTTCGATCGGAGTTCGGCCTGCACAGATTCTTCTCCCCATCCAGCAATCAGATCCAGTGTCTCCCTTTCAGTCCATGTTGGAGCTTGTTTGCAATTCTGGGGGGACTGCATGGTCACCTGTGCTGCTGAGCTCACCACGCTGACCAAACAGGAAATGAAATTCAAAATTTCCCAGGGCTTTTACTGTGTACCTGGCTAGTGCATCGGAGTTCAAAGTGCTGTCCAGAGCGGTCATATTGGAGCACTCTGGGATACATCCCAGAGGCCAATACCGTCGAATTGTGTCTGCACTACCCCAAATTTGACCCAGCAACGTTGATTTTAGCGCTACTCCCCTTGCCGGAGAGGAGTACAGAAGTCGATTTTAAGAGCCCTTTAGGTTGACAGGATTGGTTGTGCAGACACATTCATTTTAAAATTGACCTAACATGGCTAAATTCGACCTAACCCCATAGTGTAGACCAGGGCTAATAATTCTTGAAAAGCATTCACACGGGAAGTTATACCAGTATAACTACAGCTGTATAATTCTACTGGTAAATTTTTCTTTGTAGGCAAGCCTTAATACCATGATCCTACAAAGAGCTCCATGCAGGTAGACTCCTGCATGGAGCCCCATTCACTTACGCCAGGCTCTGAGCCTAAATCTTCCCCCCTAAAGTCACACAGGAAGTCTTTGGCAGACCTGGGGACCAAACCCAGATATCCTGAGTCCCAGTTGGGGGAGGGAGGGATAGCTCAGTGGTTTGAGCATTGGCCTGCTAAACCCAGGGTTGTGAGTTCAATCCTTGAGGGGGCCATTTAGGGATCAGGGCAAAAATTGGGGATTGGTCCTGCTTTGAGCAGGGGGTTGGACTAGATGACCTCCTGAGGTCCCTTCCAACCCTGATATTCTATGATTCTATGAGTTCACTACTTCATTCCAAAGACAATCCCTCACCTTCCAACTGAATATAGAATCCCACTCAGACTTTATTTTCTTTATACATTTTTCCATAAGTGCATGACTCCATGCTTTAAAATAACAAAACCACTCAACACAAATTTGTGTATATGATGTGTATACAGACAGGTGAGAAGCAAAAAGTGCAGTATGTCTAATATCTCTGCAGTGAGTAGAATGCACAGTACAACAGGACGCAGGAGTTTCAGAGAAACGTTAGCAGTGCTCTCCGTTGATCACAGTCAGCATCAAGAAGAGATAGAGCGAAGAATGGGGGTGGGGGGGAGCAGAAAGGAGAGTAAAGATACAGCATGACAACCCAGTACTGACTTCAGTTTGAGTGTTTTGCTTGATTTGAAGCTGCAAGTGTAGGCCCCGAGAAAGTTCCTTCATCAAAAAGTTGCAGTAGGAAGGTTATACCACAACAAATCTGATTTTTAACCTTTTTCAAACTGTTCTAGCCTTTAGCTCTTTCATTATCTGCATAACAGGATCTTATCCAAAAGCAAAGGAATCATTTTAGGATCTAGCCATAGTCAAAGTGAGAGCTTCAGGTCAGGTAATGAACTCAAGGATACACTCAGAGCACAGGAATAAACTAATCACCTGAAAAAAAAAATGATGGTGATGTGGTGGAAGGTGTTAATGGTGGCCAAAGATGGGAGCTTAGGAAGGACAGTAACAGGACCCCAAAGGATACAAACAAAATAGGTTTTGCTTGCTTAACACAGGCTGTCCTGTTTAAAAGCATGCTTGGCTCTGCTTTTAGTCTGCTTTAGCTCTATCTTATGGGTTATTTTAAAATATTGTTTGATGGTCACTTGTCATTGGAAATAGACACTCTGAAGATTAAAGGTGAAAATGACTCTCGGATGAAACCTGAAAGAATTTCAAAGTGATCTAAAGGTTTATCTTGAATAGGATTTAAAGCTGTGATGTTAGATATTAGCCCTAGTTAAACCCTAGTCAAGACAAGACAGGTTGTACTTTAGTACCTGCTAATCTAATCAAGTTAAATTGCAAGAAGGTGCCTAGGGTTTAACTTGAATAGGCTAATGGCTTGTCTACACTGGCAATGTTAAAGTGCTGGTGCGACAGGGCTTTAATGTGGCTTGTGTAGTCACGGAACAGCACTGGGCTCTTAAAGAAAAGAGCAAAACCCCACCTCCACAAGGAGCACAGCTCCCAGCACTGCCACATTACAGCACTGAAACGTGCAGCGCTCAGGAGTGTTTTTTCACATCCAGATCATTAATGAAGGTGTTGAACAAAACTAACCCCAGGACTGATCCCTGGGGCACTCCGCTGGATACCGACTGCCAACTAGACATCCAGCCGTTGATTGCTACCTGTTGAGCCAAACAATCTAGAAGCAGCGAGATCACGGTGATGGCTGGTTTGTCTTAATTCCATTTTTCTCCTTACATTCGGGTTTTTATATTACTCTATCACTGCCCTTAACTATGTCTTTTCTTTCACCAGTTTCATATTATTTTATAAAATAGTATTATCTCGCCTTGCCTATTCCCTTTCTACTTTTGCCTTTTTGCATTTTAACCCCACTTTACTAACGGAATCTACCTCACGCACCTTCCAGACCTTTGCCTATGCTTAAGCCCCCTGCAATATTCTGCACAATTGTGCTAATCCAGTCCCGTGATTTGGGAAAGTGGGGTGGCATTTCTGCCCTCCTTGAGCGCCTCCCGCCCCGTCACACGGCGGGAGCCCGCTGCCCTCTGCGAGGCCTTCCCCGGGGCGGCGCTCGGGGAGCTCACACCCGCGCCCATCCCGGCCCCACGTCGGGCCGCAGTCCTGCTGCAAACGCTCCCCGGATGCCCCGCTGTACGCAGGCGAGTAGCTCGCGGGCACAACCTCGCTCGTGCGCTTAACGCCCGCTACGTCACCGCAGGAGCCTAGAGCTCGCGGGGCTCAGAGCCAAGCCCCAGGCCCGCCGCCAGCCCGAGCCCCCGGCACGCTGGAGCAAGAGAAGCGCGCGCCCCCCTCAGCGCTAAGGGCAGGCGCGTCACTTGCCCAGTGCGCACGCGCACTAGCCTCCAGCCCGCCGGCGGCGGCCCGCGCCGTCCGCACATGCTCAGTAGCGGACACCCCCCATTCCCCCCTCCTTGGAGGAAGGGCACCGTTGTGGCATGACAAGGGGAGGGCGGGGAGGCCGCCGCGTAGCGCCCGTCCCCCCACGTCGCCATGCCGCTGGAAAGCTTGGCTCGCATCATCAAAGTGCAGCTGCCTGCCTACCTCAAGCGCCTGCCCTTGCCCGAGAGCATCAGCGGCTTCGTCAGGCTGACAGGTACCGCGGGCTGGCCCCCCTCTGCTAGCCCCGCCAGGATCCAGCCTCCCTCCGGCCCTGGCCTTCCCCTATTCCCTCCCCCCCCCAGCCCATTCCTTCCCCTTCCTGCCTCATCCTATTCCCCCTTCCCCGGCGTCCCCCACCTCTTCCCTTCCCAGCTCCCCAGCCAATTCCCCAGCCCTCCCTCCCCATCCCATTGCTTTCCCCTCCCACACCTCCCCTGCCCGGAGCTCCCCTTTCTTGCCCCGATGGGTGTCAGGAAGGAGGAAGTGAACCAGCTAACATAACTGGCAGGAGAGTTGCTGGTCTCCTGCTGGTGGGTGAAAGTTTGCCCTTGTGTGCCTTAGTTTCCCTCTGCCTAAGGGGATGACTGCACTTCTGCCTTGTGTGCTTCACCGTGGCAGACAGAGAAGCAAGTCTGTGGCTAAAATAAAATAACCGCCAGGGGTAAAATATTTACTCTTGCAAAATGTTACTTCCCCCAGATCTAGTGAGAGTTGTTCCTACCAGTCTTAAGAATGACACTGTTGACTGCCAGGCCAGCCCAGCGCTGCAGTCTCTTCCCTGGATCGAGTGGTGTTCTTTATGCTTCCAGCAACAAGATTTTGCAGTCTGAAAATGGGTAATAAATCTGATTATGTCTGTGGCCGGAATAGACTCTCCAGCTTGCTTCTCTATAGCTATATGGGCTGTGCCTAGCTCATAGGACAGAAAGCAAGTTTTATCATGAGACATGACTTGAAGACCTGCAGGGAGCAGCTGTTTTGAATAAGAAGGGGATGGATGTTTTACAGGTCTTTCCTAACTGTAACCATACTTTGAAATCTTACACATCACTTTAGTAGCTCTCCCTCAGTTCAAATTGTAATCACAGCTTAGCCTGGACTAATTAACCATGTTGTAATTGGTAAGTATAAGACTTGTACTTTTAACCTAAAAAACAAATCCACATTAGGTTAAAAAAAAGTCAAACAGGCTTAACAAGTTTTTATCTGTTCCATAATTACCAACAAAGATTCTTAAACCAGTGTTAAACTGAACCTACTTTAGAAATATCAACTAACATACTTTGTGCCTGATTTTCATTTTCACTGAGGCCCCTTTCCATTTTGACCGATTCTCATTACCCCTTACCATGAGCCTTAGACTAAATTAATATCACGCTTTTTTTAAGGCTCCCCATCTGTAGTTCGGTTACAGCCAAGTTAGGGGACCTGGTTAACTTTGTTTTGTAACTAGCCTAACCCAGTTGCCGAACAAAAAAACCCCACCACCTTGATTTCTTAAGAACAACTGTTTGACAGAGCGCCCTTTAAAAAAAAAAGTTACATACTATTTAAAGTATTTCTCTAAAATGTTATAGAAAGGATTTTCTGCTCACATGGTGACTTTTTTTAAAATAAGTGTCTCCTTAGCAAGGGAAAAAATAGACTGACTACATAAGGGAAATAGGGAAAATAACCATACAAAGTGCTGCCAATTGCACGAAGTGAACTAACTGAAAAGAGATTTTTTCCCCTCCTAACTTTGTCCGTGTTCTCTGTACTTACTACAGTTATGGTTTCCAACAGAATTGGTATTTTTTTCAGGTTTGTGTCCCATTAAGATCCCAACTATGTTACAAATTAGAACTATTTGAACCTAGTTTCTAGACTCAGTTGTAGTGGGTTTAGGACCTCAAGTATCATATTGTTTTAGCTAGCACGGTTTATTTGGAGACATAAAAAAAATTAAACTGTTCTGGCAGGGTAAAAGGTCCTTTAAGATGCAGTCAGACTAATTTGTCCATACTGCATCAGCAAGCTGTACCATCTTCATGAGTGTTGGAAAACAGTTTATCTACAACTAGGCTTAAGTACTATTTTCCAGCACGTTTACACTGTGTGTTTACTTAGTATCCCATAATATCTCTGGCTGTCTGTGCCAGGCTGGACCCTACTGAGCTCTATGCTTCTCCTCAAAGTTCTCTTGTTTGACTGACATTGGTAATCATTCTGTACCGAAATGATGGGCTGGATTCAATTCCCATAAAAGTTGATGGAAAGTCTCCACAGTTTCAGTAAGAGTTGGATCAGGTCCTATATAATCGTAACATTTGATATTTCCTGACTTCAGTGCTTGATCGGGCAACTGTAATATTGCATTAACATAAGAATGATGTTTTAAAATTTAATTCTCTAGGGTTTTTTTTTTTTAAAACTTCTTGGATTTAGGATGTCTACACTAGCATATTTGTCAGTATAATTTATGTTGCTCAGGAGTGTGAAAAAACAACAACACCCCTTTGAGGGACATAATTTACACGGACAGAAGCGCTGGTGTGGAAGCGCTATGTCCAAGAGAGACACTCTCCTACTGACATAGCTACCACCACTCATTGGAGACGGTTTAATTATGTCGATGGGAGACCTCTCTCCCATCAGGATAGAGCGGCTACACGAGCGATCTTACAGTGGCACAGCTGCATGGATAGAGCTGTGCTGCTGTAAACTCACTAGTATAGACATGGCCCTAGCCTCTTCATACATTTATGTAACTGAGGAGGTATGAAATCTACCTGTATATTCATACACATCACATCTATCGAAGTGCACAACTGACAGCATAATGGAATACACTACTTTTAATGCTCAATCCTGCAGTTTCAAACATTATAACTATTAAACACGAGCTTTTAAAAACTTAGCAAAGTACTTACTGGTCACTCAGGCTAGTTAGCATACCAACTTTGAAGCTTCAGTCATATGAGTTATTCTGAAAAAGGTAATCAAAACATTTAAGAGTGAGGTGGGGAGCAGAGCTATTTACTCTCAAATCAATTAGCTGAAAGGATTTTGTTTAAACTTAGAATAAAATAAATCACCACTTCTGGGAGGGGCCAATCATGTGACATTTCAGTCCCAAAGGTGAATGTTTCAGAAAGCAATGAACATAGGTAGAAGAGGGGATTAGAATGGAAACTGCTGTGTGATTGCTGTAGGAATTTGGGACAGTTTTTTAGCTGAAAAATTCCAGAAGTCCTACATTCACTAGCTCTGGTACTTAATGATTTAATGAACACTTGAACAATCAAGCATAGTGAAACTATGGATGCAGATACAAAATGTAGTCAGAAATACATAGCTACACGGCTAACATTCCAAATCTGGACACAGGATTCATTTCTGCAGTATTTAATAGGCTGATGTCCATGGTCACACTTAAATGTCTTTTCTCTACGATGTAATGTATACATCATGTTAATAGCACTAAATTGAGAAAAACAGCCAAGAATGCTATGCGTGCAAGGTTGAAGTGTTTCAGTCTTATGGCACACAGTAAACAATGTCTTTTTCAAGAGCATCCTCCTTGAAATAATATGCTCTTGGCTCACAGCCCCTTTTTTCTTAGCAGCAGCTTGACATAACAGCACATGATTGGTAGTATGACTTTGCTTGTGACCCCAATGTTGGATACCATCAGAGATGAAAAGACATGAAAGTATTCTAGGTTAAAGATGCTGAATCTCTCACCACCACCACCTGTTTGCTTGAGAGCATGCACGCTACAGATTGACTGAATTGTGATAAAGGACATTTGAGCAGAGTTTTCTGGGTAGCGTCTTATGGTTGAACTAAGCCTCTTACATTTGCAAGCCTACTAGTCTTCAAAGATTTACACTAGCTTTTGTGGCAGAGCTCCAACCTTGTCCCCGTGGGTCCCACGCTGCCAGGAGGTTTATGCTAGTTTCAGAGGCTCACTGCAACCCTCCACATAGCCCTTCTCTCTCTCTAGGGCCAGGGATACAGTCTACTGAGCCCTTTTCATCATAAGCCAGCAAGGTTATCAGTGAGAGAGCTCCCACAGTCTCTGTTGCTCCTACAGCATCATGCCAAAACAATGTAGCCTCCTGTCCTGACAGGGGCCTGTTTTCTCCTCCCAGGAGGTGTTTCTGTAGTGGTAGGTTGAGGGGAACCTAGGCCCACCCTCTACTCCGGGTTCCAGCCCAGGGACCCTAATGGTAGCAGCTGTTGGCAGCCAACCTTTCACTACCAGAGTTGCTACATTTCCCCAGGCCACTTCCCTACAGCTCTCCTGATTCTCCCTTACCAATTACTTGAGGATGTCTTTGTTAACCAGCCCTTCAGCCATATTTGCTCTCCTCTACCTGCCTGGGGTGAGCCCTTTTATAGTATCCGAGGGGCCTTAATTAGAGTCAGGTGGTCACATTAGCTTAATGGCCTCACCTGACTCTTTGCAGGTTAATTGGAGTCAGGTGTTCTCATTAGCCTGGAGCAGCCCCTGCTCTGATCAGTCAGGGAACAGAAAACTGTTAATCCAGTGGCCAGTATATCTGTCTTCTACTACTCTGCTGTACCCAACTGGCCTGGGTCTATCACACTTTGTAATTTGCAATTCTATTCATAGGAGTTTTGTAGATTTGTGGTAGTGACAAAATGCTTTGCACTTCACCATAGAACCTTGCCATGGCAGCAACATTGGTGCTGAAATGGCAGAGTTCTGCTGATTCGCCCCTTCGTGGTATGTATAGGCTTCTGTGATATTGATAATTTAAACTGAAATGACGTTCACCTCCATGTAAGCTCTTCTTTAAGGACAGTGCCAGCAGTAAATGCCGGAGCTGTGATACCTTCTGGAAAAGATTAGGGAATTCAGTTCCCACTTATATCAAACTTCATATAAACCTTTACAAATATTTAGCAATTATTTTAGTAACTTAGCAGTTTTATTTGCTGTCTATCAGGTTTTTTAAACTGAGTATGGTAAGGTTGTACCCGCTTACTAGAGAAGGGGAGAGGAGAAAAAAAGCTGCCTTTATGCTTCTGTTACGGAGTTACTAGGCAATGCTGTGGAACTACTTTAGACTAAGCCAGTTAGGACTTTGGGGGAGCCTTTTTTTGTGAGCAGACTGTTTTTAGGGCAAGAAGCTTACACAGCTTTGACCTTTTTGGGTTTGACCTTTGAGCATTTAGGGTTTTTGTTTGTTTGTTTGTTTTTAAACTGTGCACTTTTTATAGTGAGTTCACACAGGCGGGGCTCCTGGGGAAACCAGAGGGCCGTGCCCCTGCCAACTTTGCATTTAGACGTGACTTTTAGTCAGCCAGTAAAACAGAAGGTTTATTAGATGACAGGAACATGGTTTAAAACAGAGCTTGTAGGTACAGAGACCAGGACCCCTTAGTTAGATCCATTTTGTGGGGCAGGGAGCCCAGAGCCCCCTCTGGCCCTTCCTTCATTTTTTTAAGCGAGCTTTAAACTGAAACTTTTTCGCCCCTCCTCTTGTCTTTTTTCTGGGCCAGGAGGCCACCTGATTTTTTTTGTTTTTCAACAGCTTAAGTTGGCACCTTTGCAGAGAAGGGGCCCAGGCCATTAGTTGCCAGGGGACAGCGTGTTGGCCACTGTTTGTGCAGACACCATTACACTGGCCCTTTAGGGCTTTGCAACAATTACACCCCCTTATTTTACCCCATAGATACTTAAGAAATGCATAGGGGAAACTAAGGCACACATACAGTATTTAGACAAAACATTAAGAACATTCTCATTTTGTCACATCTTCTCCCTAGGAGGAGGGAGTTTGGAAGGGGTGACAAATGACCACCACCTGAATTTTGCTTTTCC